TGCTTGCTTTATATGTCTACTTTATTTTTTTGCTCGACAGTGTGCACGACAAAGATATATCGAGGGTAGATGGGAGTTTTTGGAGAGTGGCTGGTCCCTAACCCCCTGAATTTGTTTACATTCTTATGGGATTAATTGCTTCGATAACCGTTGATTCACTAACTAATGACTTTTCCCGGTCCCTATGTGCGTTAGTTATCGGCGTATGCCTTTAAGTACTTTCTGTTTAATATGGTGGCTGGGGGAGGGGATGTCTGCCCGGCTAAGAAGTTAGGCAAGGTTATGAATGTTTCTTTGATTGATTAAGTCAGGTTCTCTTAGGTTCTAGTAAATGTCGCCTCTTAAAAGACTTACTACTGTATAATGATAAGAACATGTGTGAAAAGAATTAACAAAAACAATTCCTTCTGGTGGTAGTGGTTTTCTCATACATTACCTTTTGATCCAAGTTAGGTTTTGTCATAATTTGATGAAGGTTGCCATGAAAACGGTTCTATAATAAAAAATTGGGAATCCTGGAGCAGATGGCTAACACCAGAATGCGTTGTTCGATTTCATAAATTTTTTCCACAGATGTTCTTTGGATGAAAGTAAAAAAAAAAATGACAATGCACAGAACCTAATAGAATCTGACCTAACCAACCAAAGACACCTACCTATCCTTACCTAACTTCCTAGTCAAGGGGCCACCTGATATGTTATTAAACCAAAAGTACAGCTCCTCCCCGACTTACGTCCACCCGCACTTACGACCTGCCTCAGTCGTACCAAAATTTGGTCAAATTACGTATTTTCGAGTCCCAAAGTCAGTACACAGACAAAATTTTCATCTGTAATTCACTTTAAAATGGCTGGCAAGCTTAAAAGTGAGTGTTTTTTGGTGCTGAGAAGAAAAAGAGACCCCCATTTTCGATTTTCTATGTATTATTTAAGCATTTCCGACTTACTACCATTTCGACTTACGACCTGGATGTCGGTCCCTAACCCCGTCATAGGTTGGTGAACAGCTGTACTTACTTTGATATCTGGTACCAATGAAAGCAACTTTCTTGTTGCAGCATGGTGTAATTTTACGTAGTTTGTGGACGAGAGAGTACATTCGACTGAGCGGCTCAGTTGCTGCACTGAAACAAACAAAGTGGATAATAACACACCTACAATGGGAGAATTTTTGGTGGAATATTACCAGTACAAAATTAATTTCTTCACATACAAAGCACATAGAGACATCACTTGAGTGTTATATTTTCAGTTTTCAATGTTTTACCCTGCAATTTCTCTCATCCTCCAAACCCTACCCACTTAAGGTGATTTAAGATTGAAGATAGAGAAAAAAATATAAAATAAAAAGTTGTCATATTTTTATTACTCCCTATCATCCAATAAAGTAGCATAATCCAACAATACCTTCTGGTGTTAACCATCTACTCCAGGATTACCAAGAATTGCACCACTTTCAGACTACATCCAGAGACCTTGTGATGAACCCCATACATCACCCTAACAACTGGTAATGTGTTCCTACACTCCCTGTGATAACCCGTGTCCTCAAACAGCCAACCTTTATGACCTATAGCAAACCTAATCCACCAATCACATCCATCATACCACAACCATTGCCCGTCCATTCATAAATGGCGATACTACTGCTGCGACACTGCCGTTTGGAGACACGAGTTACCACAAGGGGCATTGGAACACATTTCTGCAACAGTACCATTGGAAATTTTCTACCCGATCACATATGCCAACTCCTTAACTAAGCCCCTTTTTCGATTTGGCTAGTATACTATGAGGCATCTAGATATGCTAGGCCTCACCATTTCCTCTAATATGTCATGGAAGCCACACATCCTGAACATTGCTAAAGCTGCCTCCCGAAAGTTGGGAATGCTGTACAGATGCCATAGCTACTTCACTCCTGAGCAGTTGCTTCAGGTATATAAGGGATTCATTCTTCCTAATTTGGAGTACTGCTCTCGTATCTGGGGTGGCTCTTCTTCTGTCCAACTGTTAGATAGGATGGAATTAAAGGCATTTCATCTTATTAACTCTCCTCCTTTAGTTAACAATCTTTCTTGGCTTTCTCTTCGCCGCAATGTTGCTTCACTCTCTCTCTTTTACAGGTACTGTACTTTAACGGGCAATGTTCGGTGGATTTGGCGTCCTGTGTACCGCCGGCAAGGCCATGGGCACGTAACACACTTCTGGCCCGCGGAGCCCACCGTTTCTCTGTGGATGTCGTTCACACTAGAATAACCTGTTATAGTGCATCCTTCTTTCCTCACACAGCCAAACTGTGGAATGCTCTGCCTTCTTCTGTGTTTCCACACGCATACAATCTGTCTCGCTTTAAAAAGCTGGTTTTCTATCATCTTCGTGGTGTAGATTAATAAATCCTTTTCCTTTTCTATTTTTAATTTCTTTCTATTCTTATTTTTTCGCCCCCTAGGCTTCATTGTGGGTCGTTGACCTGTGCCCGGGTGGGCTAATCCCTGTAAAAAAAAAAAAGTCGCTTCACAATGTCAAACTTCACCTCCAGAGACAGTTTTCCTCAGTGCCTTGGCCTTCCCAGACTTTTGAAATTTAAACTTCTCACTTTAGTCACACAAACACGATAATGATGGAGACTCGATTCTTTTATGAAAAAACATAAGAAATGTCGATACTGCATTCTGTAAAAGCAGTTCTAATTAAATTAGAAAAAAAATTTTTATCTAAAATAATCCTGAAGTTTATATAAAAGTTTGACTAAATAAATATACTGTACAGTATTTAAAAAACTAAAAATCTATATGATACAGGCACGCCAGGTGCCTCGTAAATGAAACTGTCACAGCAGACAGGAATTTTCCACTCGCACAGGCATTAGTGGGTCTCATGTTTCTGACTGGAACAGATTCACTTAGCACTTAAAGAGTTCATATCTCCTGCAGTGGTGATGCATCAAATAGCTACAAAGTCCATAACTCAATTTAAAATTGCTGTCGTTTCTTTGTAACATACGGTGACTGAGGAGAGTTCTCGTAAGCTTCTGCAAGGCGGAATTAAGGTCACGTAACTCTCCTTTTTCCCCAACAATTCAATCCAAGACATATAAAGTAAGAAATTATTACTCCCACATATCGGTGTAAATGCCTGTAGTTCACCAGAAGGCGACGAGGTGGCATTCAGGTAGATGACGCCTCATCAGATAAACGAAGTCAGTGATGTGTTCCATATTCCGAGTTAGTAGGATGATGAATATCACTATTGTGGGTTTGTTTACATCGCAAAGAGGTATGTGATCTTAATACATCACCACCGTTAATGTGAAATATCATAAATAGGAGGATACGTGTACTCGAATATATCAAGCAAATGCACACAAAGAGATTGCAGGCACTTTGAGAGATGCCAAACAGTTGCCTACACTTCGCATGTTACCTGAGCTGCCCGACCTAATGCAACATGTGTAGAGCAAATTTTGATAATTTGTGTGAATTCACCAAACATTAGCCATGTGTCAAAATATACTCTTAAGATTTTGACAGTGCCAAAACTTGCCAAGTCAGTGTGAATTCTGAATTAATGAGGGTTTAGTATAAGTACTGTACTTGAAATTAGAAATCATGTGCCCAGATAAAAATAAATTACAGTACCAGTACTGAATGTTGAAACATTAAAATTAAATGCTGTATTACCAGGTTTAATGTTATCGCTCATAAGTTAACAAAATTATTAAATACTGCATCAGCCGTTGTAAAGAGGAGATCAGATACCCTCTACAGCATACTGTAGCTAAATTTGAAGTTATTACCTTGAAAAGTGTATGAAAAAGTAAAGAGATTTATGTACTCAGTATGTAAAGTTTTAATAAGAATAGAAACATGTATCAGTCAGTCTTGCAAAAATGTCTGCTATACCTGTATAAGGTAATAACCCTTCTATAAAAAAAAAAACAGTAGCTGCTACAACTTTTTATATGAATTAGAAAATTTAATATGCCCCTGTAGTTTAAAAAAAAAAATTAAGGCTTGTAAGAGTGGATGGAATACCAATGGAGATACCTCATAAAGAGCAGTAGTAATGTACTGGCAGTTCCATGTGTGTGTGCTTCTTCTTGAAGAGTAGGAAAGAGGCAAAAGAGAGATTGCACCTTGTACATGTTTAACTCGTAAGGAGTGTTGCAGCTTCAAAAAGTTAGCTCACTGTGTACTCTAAGAAACGTACAGTACTATATATGGAAGGAATTACAAATGTGTCCTAAGCATTGTGTGAATTAGAATTCACCCGATGTTAAGTGTTGGAAAAATAGTTAATGGATTTTGAAGAAAAAGTGAAAAGGTAAATATTGTTGTGGCATGTGAAATAACTGACAAGGAAACTGCACTGCAAGATTTGGGTAGGTAAACCAAGTGAACTACAGAATTGAAAAAGTTGCAAATTTCAAATGCACAAGATTGTTACCAAGTAACATTACATTAAAAATGGAGATTGCGATACAGAGAAAGATAAGAGATCCTTACGGAGGATGAAGGGAACAATGAAAGTACGTAGGCTATAAAATGGAACAAGCAGTTTTGAATTTCAGTCTTCTGAAATCAGATATTCTAGACGAGGATGTATTATTAACAGAGAAGAGGAGATGAGCAACTGTTCAGTGTACAGATGTGGGATAACTGATAAATCAAATGAGGTGGAGTGTGGGGTCAAAAATTGGTTAAGAAGAAATGTTTTATGATATGGACATGTGCAATGACTGATGGATGATAAGATTGTAAAGAGGGTACACAGTAGTGATATAAAATTATATAAAGTGATGTGAAGGCAACCAGCACCTTGATGGGTAAAATGGAACAGTACATTAAGGCAAGGTCCCAGTAGAGTATGCAGGAAATAAAACTTGGTGATGATTGTTCAGATATAGCAGCTAGAGGCTGTATCTGTAGATCACTGCCTCGAGAGAATTTATAAAGGGAAACAAGGATATGTAAAGATAGAGGATAAAATAAATATTGACCATTTGAAAGTTTACATCAATAAAAGTACAGTGCACAATCAACTTGATTCAACACAACATTATACCACTACATAGGTGATGACAGCTTATGTTAATACAGGTATACAAAATTACACTAAAACTTGTATGGACTATTACCATATATACTGTAAATATTATGACAAACCTTCCATGTTCTGATCATCATCTGGTTACAGATTTCTGGTTTCCATTGCTATCATTTGAATAGTTCAGATTATGTAAAACCAGTTTAGCATCACCACCAGCTAAAACCTCTCTTACTGCTTGGTCTACCAAGCGTTTACATTTGTCTACTAATTTTCGTAGTTTAGGTGTAAATGGGTCAAAATTCAAAGGTCTCCTTCTCCTTTTATATATTCCATCTTGGTGTCTTAGCATGCAATCAAAATTACTATCGGAAACTTCTAGATCAAGGAACTCCAGGATCCTTCTCATCTCCTCTGGTAAGTTATCCAGGAGATCTTCGTAAAAAACTAGATGTAGTGGACGATCAAATTTTAGCCAATCTAGAGTTGTGTTCATCCATGCCAAAGCTTTGTTTGTCACAAATTTCTCCCAATCTGAAAAAAAACAAATACAAATTTTATGAATGAATTATATATATAAAAAAATGTTTTATACAAAAATGCAGATAATACAGAAATATACTTTCGTGTCACTTTCGTTTCTAAGAATTTTTAAAACCAACTTCTTTGATTGTCATACCACTAACACAATCCTGTGCAGTGGCATATTTTATTCAATTTTCAATTTCAATTGTTTATTCCTTGATAGAGGAAGCGGGATCCTAGTGCTGTCATATTTTATTTATTTTTTAATATTTGCTGTTCCATGGTATTTGCTTTCTTGATGTACTGCACAGTCAGTCAGAAAAATTAGTGCCACTGTGTTTATTTTCTTTTTAAATTGATATGTGTCTTTATCTGAGGCAAAAGCAGTTGATAACCCTGGTTAGGTATGTATCCTACTGAACACATTACCCATACTTCCAAATGTCTCGAAGCATTTGACGAGTCAATCATAATCAAAGAACAGAAATGAAAAGGACCTCAAGAACACATGATAATGTATGTGCACTGAAATTAACTGAATAAAAGTATCAGTGGCCATCAACTTGGAATTCACAAAACATAAAAGAAATGGATCAAGAAATTTAAGTCGACCAATAACCTGAATGGCCTGTTACATTAATCATACCATATGGGTGTGTTTTGCAGAGAATAATCCTCAATAGACATAAATGTGGTTAGTAGGTAGTAGGCAGCTATCAAACAGGGAGATACTACTGCCTGCAAAGATATAGGAAGCATTATGTGTTGTCTAATGGTAGACCCTGCTGCCATATAGCATCACAAATATTGTGACCAAGTCCCAGGTTGCTCATCTGACTTTCTGCATCATTTGCACACAATTGCAGGGTCTCAATTGTTTTTCTTACTATGACAACACAACATACATATATCGTGACCCAAGGTTCGAACGTACTTGGGTCATGGCTCATGGCCCAAACGTCCTTGGATCATGGCCCAAATGTCCTGGGGTTGTGGCCCATGGCCCAAACATTCTACAATCTGCCACAATATATAATTGAGAAGTAGTATAAGGTGCAACAATTACAACATTAAAAATGTGTGGAAAATGTATGATATGGACACGAAGTAGTACCTTAAGCTGTGTATTATTATATTACTCTTATATTACTATACATAATTAATAGAGTAATATAAGAGTAATATAATAATACACAGAAAATTACATATATTCTAACACCTAATAATGTTTGCTTAAAATACCGAGTATCACTTGTATTTGTCTTATCATAATTGCCTTATGGAAATGATAGGACATTATTCTACTATGTAAATTGTCTGCAATGATTCACGTAACAAACCCAGAGTAGGAGCTGGGTAGTGGAGGCAGGGAGGGAGGGGGAGTTGGGAGTCTAGGGTTCCACTGTAGTGGATTCCTCCCCTACAAATGCCGTTTGTCGCTGACTAGCCGACCCTCGAATTCCCCAGTGTATGCCTCGTGGTCTAGGTCAGCAACCAGCGCCGCCTTACATGACTGAGGTCAACTATTAAGCCATGCCTACCTCCGCTATATAAGACCTGACCTTGTGGTGACCTATCTCTTTCTACCTACAGCCACCAGCAAGCAACACCTCCTCCTCCTCCGCTCCTGCCTGGCGGCTCCCGCTCCAGCCGGCGACCCACAAGCTGGTCCTCCTCTGAGCACCCTCACTAACCAGCTCTCTCTACTCAATGCTGCCTTCCCAGCACCAAGCTGCATTGTACATCCAATACAATTTGTATACAGAGAGCACATTGTGAGTTTCCTTTCTCCATCCCATCCTGAGTGTGAACCAATATCTCAAAACCCCACAAATGGTGACCCCCGGAGTTTCGCACTCACACAGGATGGAGGAGAAACCGATCACTCTCCCAGTCTTCAAGCAACATGGAAGACTGGCTTATCCACACAGAGGCAGCTCTCATCGGCTCTACAGCTACTGTCTCTACACCGCAGGTTAGACACCCTAGAGCAGCTCTGCTGCTCTAAGCAGACAGCCGCTCCTCTTCCTGCCCCAAGCACCACGTTCTACCGACCCCAACGCACCCGTCCTGCCTCAGACGCCGCCCCTGGCTCAGCAGTACCCCCCTGCTACTGTCCTGGACCCTCCTGCTGTCGTGGCCCCTACTCCTGACGCGGCCCCTGCTCCTGACGCGGCCCCACACACCCCTCTTTTCTCCCTCGGGTACTCCCTGCTACTGTCCTGCACCCTGCTGCTGTCGTGGACCCTGCTGCTGTCATGAACCCTCTTCCTGATGCAGGCCCTGCTCCTGACCCAGACCCACACACCCCAGCAGGCGCATCTGAGGACTCTGTACCTGCCGCGAGAGAAGCACAATATTCATCGCCTCCACAACCCTCTTTCTCCCTCTCTTCTCCCACAGATCTTGTGTATCTAGACAAAGTTGTCTCCCCTAGCAGCCGGCTCATCCACGCCCTCGCCGTTATGTCTCACATGTGGCATACAACCCAGCTGACAACAAGTCTCCTGCACCGACCGTTCTGCCTCACATGTGGGATGCAACCCTGCAGACAACAAGTCTTCTACACCGCCTTGAGGGAAGGGGGAGTATTGTAGTGGATTCCTCCCCTACAAACGCCATTTGTCGCCTACTAGCCGACCCTCGAATTCCCCAGTGTATGCCTCGTGGTCTAGGTCAGCAACCAGCGCTGCCCTCCATGAGGTCAACTATTAAGCCACGCCTACATCCGCTATATAAGACCTCACCTTGTGGTGAGCTATCTCTTTCTACCTACAGCCACCAGCATTATTTCTCAGTCTTCCTCGTTCTACTGTCACCTCAGGTTCCATGCGGTCGGAGTACCTTGCCGCCCGGCCGCCATTATCCCTTTGAGCGTCACAACAGGTGGTGACCACTCCCCGCTATGCCAATCCACTGTGAACCTGTGGATTTCCAGCGCACCACTCCAAATGAATAGTCACAAATAAGGAGACTGTGAGAAACTCTGCGGTCGTCACTTGGAGCGACCTATAATACCAGGCGTAGAAATAGTGCTGGTATGTCTCTAGGTGAAGCCCTCGTCTTTACCCACCGAGGGCGGTGTGCGAACGAGGTGCCTGTTGTGTATACCTAAAAGTCACAAGGAGTCCCATACTTGCAGGTATGGAGTGTAACAGGTGTGTTGAGATGGTGCTACTATGAGTGATAACCGACGGTGCTAGATTCCATACAGGTGGAGCAGTGTTAAGGGATAGTGTAAGAAGGAATGACCGAGGTAAGGTGGTCACAGATTGTTAGGCAATAAGTAGGTGGATGACACGCCATCAATGTAAGAGTCTGGGGCCCATCTGTGTAACCACATTTCCGTTGTTCTTCTGAGGAAGGCCAATTCATGTATATGTTTTTTACCAGTATGTTTTATAAGGAATAAATCAAGTAAGACATGTTATGGTTTCACCCTTCTTTACCCTTATCGATCTGGTCAATGGAAAACCTAACCCAATGCCTAGTCCACTCTGCACGCTACCTAACGAGCTACATGCTGTCCAGAGGGGGTCTGGTGGCAGCGACCCTTAGAAATTAAGATTAGAGTTAAGTTATCCCCTTAGACTTAGTGACCCCAGAATCTGGCAGTATACTAGGCCTTAACACAATAAGTGTTCTAGGCCTTAACACAAAGTGTTCTAGGTCTTAACTCATCACGTGTTCTAGGTCTTACTACAACAATGCTCAAGGACGTCAAACTTTCGTGTAACAATTATTATTTTTCATCTGTTCGTCATTTGCCATCTGTGTCTTTTATTATTTTCCATTTTTTATAATTTTCTCAAAAATTTTCTTACCTCTGTATTCTACAGGATTTCCAAGACAATTCACACTCGGTGTATACATTCCTATTTCCCTGTAAACGCAAGTAATGACGGCCTAACAGATATCTATAACATGATACTGTACAGTAAAATTTAAACTGCATTAATGGTTCTTCTGAACTTACAATTGTTTAGGTTACCATTAACAAATATGTTTGAGGTGGTTTATATATTTACCATCCAGTCTATGGGACCTGTCAGTGTGATACCTGTATACTGTATTGTAACTCCCCCCACCCCCCCAAAAAAAAACTATCTTTACAATTAATGTGCGAAACAAAATGACACCACGAACGAAGGTTTTTGATAAAGGCACATGTGGCATACTGTTATTCACCAATCATAATGCAACAAACTAATTTTATATTTTGAATGAAGTAACTAAATGAGGCCTACCATATAGGTAAGAAATGTCTCACATTCACGCCCTACCAACTCCAGCGAGACAGTTCGAAATTTATTGGCCCCCTCCTGAAAAATATTTTTTTTAACCAATTGTACACGTGCTGTATAAAATAAAATTAAGAATTCTTTCTGGAGAATTATATTTGATAATTTTAATTCCAGCTAAATCAAAAGCCTTCCAGATGTTTTTCTTTTGCAAATTCATGAAACTGATTGCAAAAACTATACCAACTTTTCACAATTACTGTATTTTTTTAAACTAATTAAACTCAAATTTTCACATATACTAGATATTAGTACACTATTAGTATCACAGTGATGCGGATAATTCCAATTGTGTATAACAAGTACAGTACACTTACAGCGTCCTCCATCCCGTGTGTATTTGTCAGGCTGGGCATGACCAATATGGCCACCACTTTGCCGATTAAACTCTGCCTGGATAGCTAAGTAAGGGTCACGCATCACTAATATGGCTCGACCGAATGTTTTCCGCATCTGCAAAGGTAAATTTCAGATAAATTTTTATTTAGTTCAAGATTCATCCCAAAATGTTTAAAGGACATGTTGTTGAACAAGACAGTATACAGGACAAGAGAATGGAGGGGTTACAGTGTTGGATAAAGTCCGCAATAAACATAGGATAAGATGCCGTGAGTGATGATGCACTGTTTTAATCATATAATCATTCGTAGGCCTCAACCTGCAGTAATTCTAGTTGTACCCAAAGACATAAGATGGGTGATTATACAAGTGCATAAGCTGCTGTACTTTATATTTCTAGTACTGTACAAACACATGGATACACACACTTCGAACTTTATCCATAAACATTTAAAATATAGGACATGTTGATATACTGTTTTAATTAATGAATATTGAAGCAAATAAAAGTACAGCGCAGTACCACACACCTCAGGCCCCCACTCGTGTGTCTTGACCACCACAACTGAGCCGTTGGAGACAGACTCAGCAGGGAAACCATTCTTCATAAGGGCGTAGTCCTTGTATACACTCCCTGAATAGTAACCCGTTGCCTGTTTGGAAATAATAATTCCTCAAAAGAAGCATAAGGATTCAAAGTACAGCATAAGAGTGTTAATTCATTACGTGCACCAAGGAAAAATTACATGTATTTCTGAATACAGGTTGACAACCCTTTATCCGAAATCCTTGGGGCCAGAGGCATTTCGGTTTTCGGAATTTTTCGGTTTTCAGAATTTTTTTTTTTTTTTTTAATGTGTATTAGCCCACCCGGGCATAGATCACTGACCCACACTGGGGCCTGGGGATCGAAAATATAATAAAAATTATAATAATAATAATAATTCATAGGTCTAGGTCATGTTTCTCGCTTTTGATCTTTTTATCATTCTTGTATTTCTTTACTGTATTATTATTATTTTATTATTACAGTATTATTATTATTAATTTTATTATTATATTTTATTATTATTATTATTATTATTATTATTATTATTATTATTATTATTGTAATCATTATTATTTTATTTTGGGGTATTTTTATTAAAAAATTTATTTACTATGAATAATTATTATTATTATAATTATTATTACTATTTCATTTTCGCCCCCCAGGCCCCGATGTGGGTCAGTGATCTGTGCCTGGGTGGGCTAATAATCCCTGTAAAAAACAAAAAACCAAAAAACAATGACCCACAAAAAACTTTCGGTTTTTAGAGCTTTTCGGTTTTTGGAATTTCGGATAAAGGGTTGTCAACCTGTATAATAAACTTGACGATATTTACTCTAATCTCCATGTCTACTTCATGGTTAATGGCATGAGACATCTGCACTGAAAATTCTGAAACATCCCATGAAGGACTTATTAAAATGTGTTTATGATGTCTTCACTAACAATAAATTTTTGACTAGTATGTTATGGGAGAGGTTAAGTGAGAAATGACCTCAGAGATAAGCAACTGGCTGTTCCTACTACCTGTAAGATACATGTCACTGGCTGTTCCTACTACCTGTAAGACGTGTCCCTGGCTGTTCCTACTACCTGTAAGACGTGTCCCTGGCTGTTCCTACTACCTGCAAGACACACCCATAGCTGTTCCTACTACCTGTAAGACACACCCATAGCTGTTCCTACTACCAGTAAGACACTTGCCCCTGGTTCTTCCCACCAACTCCATATCCCTGGCTGTTCATGTGAGCAGTCATATCCCCTTAATAGTTACACCTGAAGGACTCACCTGCTGTAAAAGGTATCTGACCCAGGTGTTGCCGGAACCAGGGAAAGAAACGAGAGCCGTGGAGGTCCCGGGGGGTTTCATCCATCGTAGTGGCTGACACCAGGGAAGCCGGGCACCTCGCCCCCCTCGTTGTGTTGTCCATGCCCACGTGCCCCGAGGCTGTTGGATCAAATGTCACGTTAATATATGATCTTCCAGAAAAAAAGGCTAAAGAAACACAAGATTGGAAATTTACCTGTCTTTTAAAAATAATATTGGGTCTGGTATTTACCTGGGGTTGTCTGTGGCCAGGTATATACCCATGTTGCAGGTCTGTCTTCATAATTAACTGGTGCCTGTCATATCTCATGTGTGGTCATCTTGAGGTGAGCGTATCACTACAGCTTACAGTGTAGCTGAGGTGAGATAAGCGGGTTCTTCTCCTCTTTACGTCTCTATTCAGGGTCCCCAACGAGGATAATACATTTCTCGAAGATAAAGTAGTAATGGAAAGACAAACATAAAAAATAAGACACAAAAACAAAACGTAAATAACCTCCACATATTATGATTCCTGAACCATTGTGTGATTTACCAAGGACACGTGTAGCGGCGCCAGTGTCCATGTGTGAAGTAGCTTCCTGGTGTATGAAACACAAGTTTCCTCTTATACGTTTTATTTTTAAAGATTTATCACTCATATTGGTATTTTTCTTAAAAGAAGCATCTATCCATTGTTACAAGACTACTATGGATTCAATCATAAGTTTGCCATTGTGCAGGATGCTGCCTTTCATGCCACCATGGAGTTGCCTGACAATGGCGATGATTTTTGGTGGGCAGCCAAAACGGCTGTGGGTTTAACAGAGGGCTTCCATGTTGACCGAGTCGAAGGCCTTGGTTAGGTCGATGAAAGCCATGTACAGGTCACGACACTGTTCTCTGCACTTTTCCTGTATCAGGTGGGCAGCAAAGATGATGTCAGTGGTGCCACGTGATGGTCTAAAGCCACCGAGATTCTGGGAGGAAGTTTTTCGCCACGGGAAGAAATATGTTTAAGAGGACTCGGGCGATAATGCTGCCAGCTACGGACAGCAGCGAGATCCTGTGGTAGTTGCCAAAGTTTGACCGGTCTCCCTTCTTATAAATATTCACGATGGAGGCGTCATTAAGAGCTTGGGGAATTTCTTCCCTTTCACATATACTGTATTCTCCAGGAGAGAGTGGAGACAGCTGGCAAGCAGAGGTCCTCTTGCTTCATACTACTCGGCTGGGATTCCACCAGGCCCTGAGGCTTTGTTATTTTTCATTTGTTTGATGGCAGTACAGTAGCTACCTCATCCAGGGATGGAGGATAGCTGAGGTGGGTCAGCTGTGGATGCTGAGGGACCTGCTGGGTAGTCAGGACATCCACATTAGTGTTTCGGTTGAGCAGTGAATGGTAGTGCTCCTTCCAACGCTGAAGGAGGCCTTCATCGTATTTAATTAGGAAGTTACCGTCGGATGAGCGGGGGGGCCTGCTCCAAGAGTGATTGGCCCATAAAATGTTTTCGTGGAATTTAAAAATTTGCGCATCTTGTGTTGATCTGCAATTTTTTGTGCTTCACATGCTTTATTTTTAAACCAGTCGTTCTTTAGATTGCCCGCTGGCCCGTCACCTTCTTTTTGCGGAAGGTATCAGCTTTGGTCCAAGACTGAGGGTTGTTCTGCCAGTCAGTTAAAGCAGCACGTTTATCATTGATGAGTACGTTGATTGCCGGGTCATTTTCATCAAACCAGTCCTGGTGTATTCTTTTGATCTGGCCGAGGGTCTCTCTGCAGGTCTTGTCATGAGTGTTGAGAGAATATCCCATTCGGCACTGGGATTTGGGTTGTTTGTTGTTGGGTTGTTTATTGGTCCATGTTCGAACTGCTCTCTGAGAGCATGTGCTACAGCTGGATCCTCCAGACGCATTGTGTTAAAACCTCTTCTGGAGGCTTGCTACCGCCGCCGTTTTGGAGCGACGTGAAGTGAGAGCTTGGCTCTGACGAACCGATGATCGGTGATCGCAGTGGTCTGAAATATGCCTGTGGAGGAAGTCTCAAAAAAAAAAAAAACTATCTCAGGTTATGACTTCTGGAACACGATTGAGATTTCATTATACTTTTCTGGCCCGAAAACCCATGTAAAACTTATTGTTTTATGTCGGTACTTTTTGGAACTATAGATCTTCATTTTGAAATTGATAATGATGAAAATGATGAGTCAACTTTACGTATTTTTGGAGGCCTCTGCGAAGGGTTATAGAGCTGTTATCATACCATGGAGCAGGAACAGAGTGTAGATTGATTATGGCCAAAGCTAAGCTGGCTTTATTGAAGAAGCAAACCTTGCCTAAGCTGGAATAAACAGCGATAGAGATAGGAACCCGGTTGATTAACTATTTGATGGGGACTGTCAAGTCTTTTGACAAGGTCCTCATATCGACCTATAGTGATTTTTTTTACTTTGGATTGCGAAAAATTATATTGCAATACCCTATATTAGGAACCAAGTGGCCAAAATTGTCGAGTAGGGTTAATTTTCCAATTTTATCATACACCATCTAAAAATCCAGCTGAAGTATTGTCTTGGTGCTTTACAGTCTCAAAATTAATGAAGGATCGATTATGGCTTTAAGGTCCAGATTGGTTGGCCGATTCAAGCAGTGGCCTGTTCAGAACCTCTACCAGAAGAATATACTAGTCAAGAGTGTTCTTTTGGACCATGTTTTAATTCCTGGTCGGTCGATAATAGGCAAGAATATACTTTTTTCACCGGAAATCTTTATTTTTTAAGAATAAAATACTTTTAAACCAGGAGAGGTCGATATCTCTTAAACCCACCCTAAGTGGTCCTTGATTAAATTTATAATGTATAGATACGACTTTACACCCAGACCAGGACGGAACACTAAGAATAGTAAAGGTCCTGGCAAGGGGACAATTTAGCCTGTGGACTGTAGATAAATTGATCCCTCAAGAATTATATGAAATTTCCAAGGATCCCGAAGAGAACTCGGAAAATGGCAGAAGGGTCTCGTCCTGTGAGATCACCGGCTCTGAGGTCTTAGGGAGCCTCCGGAACAATTTACCTACAGGAGGGGACATGAAGCAGTCCTACACGACTTCGCCGGCCCCAATATGTGGAAATTATCTCGTACACTTCCGAGGAGAACTCTTGAGTTGTAAATATGTCTCTTGGCAGATTGCCAGCTGGAGCGTTATAGCCTCCTCGTATGTGTGGATGGTGGGATTCTGTAATAATTCATTGTCGAATGCGTTTGTTGTCAGGGTATGTCATGGTTATATCCGTGTAATTTATATATATTCTGTTATTCTCTTGTTACTGTATATGTATAATAGTGTTGGATTATTACCGATATCAATTAGTCCGATCAGCAAATGTGGACATCGGATTAGTACTGGTGGATTAGTTTATATAAAAAATAAACTATGATTATATTATAATTGTATTATACATATTTATTTCATGAAATCACGTTAACTTTATTAATAAGAACAATAAACTGATAAATTAGAAAAGCCACTATGTGTCAATGATGATTGGTTCCCACGATTTTAGCCGGGAACACAGGAATATCCCTGTCGAAGGCACAGTTAACTACACCACAGTGAATTTTTTTTATTTCTGTTAAAATTCAACTTCATCAAAGCAGCTTCAACTCAACATTGGCAGAGCCCCAATAAGGACTCATAACCCCTTCCTGTGGAAATATAGATACTGTAAGTATCTGGCAGTTCTGTTGTGAGAAGGGTTGATTACGCAGGAGTGTCTTTTTTCAGGTAAAAGACCAAAATCGTAGACATCTGGATATACAGAGAAATGTATCATGTGATGTGGAAGAAGCGTCACTAGAGAAGAAACTTGCAAGAACCAACTGAAAAACATGTGGTAAACAAAGCCAGGTCGCTAGCCCCCTGCACCTCTGGGTCGCGTGAGGCCAGTCAGCCCTACGGGAATATAGTGCATAAATAAGTGCTCTGACGTCACTAACACCAGAGACCCAGGCGGTAGGGGTAATGTAGCAGGGAATTCAAGGCTGTCTTTATATATTCCCACTGTTAGTTATGGCAGTGTTTTTCTCAGGTTCACAATTCTTTTCACTAAGGATCAACGCTCGAGTGTCTTCTGCCCAATAATGAAATTCCAGCTCGACACATTCTTCTACCACTGCCTCCATTCTCTTCACTGTTGTTGCTGACGTCACACAATACCCATGAAAAGGCACGGGTAAAACACACAATAGCTGAATACTATGAAATTAATACAATTGAACTACAGACTCGTCTTATATAATTCATCTGGTGGTTTTCAGTTTTCTTCGTAACATTAAACCAAAACAACATTAACCCCCCTTAACTGCGGGAACGCCAGTTTTAAAATTGTATTTGGCTAACGCCAGACGATTTCATTCATCTCAAAGGGGAGGCCGTACACAAGGGGTTACTAGACTACCCCCCCCCCTACCCACTAATAACACGTTTTTGCCTTAATCAGCTTTGGGTCAATTTATATTCAGTTTGCCATCCACACCCGTCTGGACTCAATTGTTTGTTGTTGACGCCTGGTGACACCCGCCCCCCACCCCCGTCCTTACTCGCACTCATAATCACTGTTGTTACTGGACAGTCATGATGTATTAGCCCCTGTCTTATAGGCAGAAGCATTTATATAAATGGGTTAATTACATTAGACTTGTATAAATATCACCCCTTGTAACTTTCCACTAGCTATGAGGTAACTTGTTCAGAGCACGTGATAAGGTGTGCCCACGGGAAGTCAGGTCACTTAGTGCTAAGTTAAGCATTAAGTGACCGGCTCTCTGGCCACCTATTGCGGGCAGTAGTTTGATATCACTCACTAGAGGAAGACGTTATTGAGAGCCATCGTGGATGGTTCCGTCTTCCCTCGAAGGAGGACTCTTGATATATTTCCGTTCTCCCTCGACGGGTTCCGACTCATTCTCACTCAACTATCTCATCATCGACAGGACGTACTTAGCAGAGCTATATAACATAGCCTCCGTCCTCATTTAACACTCATAGCTACAGTGATTAAGTTACGGTGATATACACTTGGAACTGTATATAATATATTTTCCTAATAAATGAAGAAAATACAGTTGGGGTATAAGAGC